TTTCCGGGGAAAAGTTCCCGCCGGGGGGAAAAAAAATTCGGGGAATTTCAGGGGCCCCCAAAAAAAAATTTTTCGAACCCCTACCCCTCCCCCCCCCCCCCCCCCGGGAGGGGTATGAAAAAAGTTTTTTTTTTTTTGGAATATTTTCGTACAGGCTTTCTTTTGGCTTTCTCCTTCTCCATTGCGTGTGCTTGCGTGTGGTGGTGTTTACGGCGCGACGTGCAAGCAGGACCTTGTTACTAGGAAGGTGTAGATTGCTACTTCATGTACTGAAATATGCTGTGATGGGCTGGGGACACTTCTTATTTGGTTTTCAAGTCTTGAAGTACAGCAGTGGTGCTTGGGGACAACCCCTCAGCTACAAGTAACTTAGAACTTCTCCAAGCCTCTGCGACAAGTCCACGACATTTGACCTCGGTCGAATGTGGCGAAAGGACACAACCAAATGACACATACCCATGCGTCGAAACGTCATCATTCCAAGCTTACTCAAGCCGGCAACATACCGAAGAGGGGCTGTCGATGAGCCTACGGCGGTGGAATCACCTTCGCCACGTGCAACACCCATCCACAAATAATAGCAAGTTGTCTTGGATGATGGTACTTATTATTCACTCCCCGAAGCCCCTCCAGTATTGCCAAGTCAAACTCATCCTCGCTGAACCCTTTGGCACTATACTTGCCATTCACCGCCTGCTCTAACCTATGCATGATACCACTCAGCGACAAGCCGTCTCGCCGCGCTTGAGCCATCAACCTTCGAATGCCATTCACGTCATTGTCTGCCATGTAAATGAAGATACTCTTCGCGAGTGCAACACGACCATGCAAAGCCGCGCACTTCCTGCGTTGGTTCAAAGTGTACAGTTTCTGCACTTCGAACTTCTTCTTCCACCGCGTCAGCCTGCGTCGTTGCTGGTGAGGAGTCAACAAATCTAGGGCAAGGTGCTTCAACCTTGAGTCTTCTGGCTCCAACGATGATCGTTGAACCAGATCTGCTCCAAGACGGAAGGGATGCAGAAGGAACAATCCAATTAAAAAAAAGTACATGTGTGGTGGAATGAGGGTACGACAGTTAAATTGTCTTGCCTTCCTAGTTGTGCCTTCCTATTTCGCGTTTTTTTCGCTACGTGGTCTCACCTCTGTAAACCTTACTGCCCTTGATGTCCACACACGGCTCGCACGGGCCTCCTGGTTCTTCCACTGCTCCAGCACAACCTGGGCTCAGGATGCCGCGGGAGACGGATTCCACGGCGTAAAGAGCCACGCCACTCGGGTCTATCCGAGCCTCCCACGACAGCCCCTTTTTGACGACACTATGCAAAGCTGCTGGGTAGTGTTGGAGAAGAGGCTCCCGAACATTCGGACGCAATCCCGCGCAGCGGAGGGGGTTTTGGACGCGCACCATATCGGTCGAACCACTCTCGTGTGCAGCGTCGGAGAAAGCTCCATCCATTTCGCTGCTCGCGCCCTCACAATCCTCACGCCCGTTCACAACTCCCGTCGCAACCACCTCACCGTCGCTACCCGTGCCCGTTCCGCCCTCACGCCCGCCTGCAACTCCCGTCGAGAGCACCTCAACGTCACTGCTTGCGCCCGCTCCGCCTCCACCCCCGCCTGCAACTCCCGTCGCAACCACCTCAGCGTCGCTACCCGCGCCTGCTCCGCCCTCACGCCCACCTGCAACTCCCGTCGTAACCACCTCAACGTCATTGCTTGCGCCACCGCTGCTATCCATCACGTCCCTCGACCCCTTCCCGCCACCCGGAGTGCTCGTCGGTTTAAAACCTCAGCATTGTATTCCTCTGACGCTTAACTTCAGCACCACGCCTGCGGATGTGAATAAATATTGATTGATCCGCCGTTGAGAGACGGAATAATGATCTAATCGTTCTACTGTACATACTGTGTCAAGTTGCGTAGTAGGCGACGCATTCGCACACATCGACAAAGAAAGCTGCATGCACGCATTGATACTTTGCGCGACATGCGTGCGGCGAGGATCGACATAGTAACGGGTCTTGCGAGGTCTTGAAATGTTGGTAAGCACAAGTGAGCAGTCCAAATTACTCGAGAATGCAACTGCGGACACCGACCGCCATCGCCCTCACATGTGTGCGGTCGACCTCTCGTGCTGGTTCACATGAAACTGGGTCAGCCCTTCACCGGAGCCGAAATAGTGCTGGCACGTGGTGCAACCCCAGTTGCCACTGCTATTCTTCTGAGCGATTTTCGCAACAGGCGAACGCGATCTGCTCGCATGCGATGGGCGTGCGGAAAGTGGCAGGCAAGGGCAGGGGACACCAAAATGTAAAGGCCAGTTCTTCTGCAGAGGCACGAATATCCCCGTGGCACACAGCCTTGTGGGTGGTGCCGGTCTGCATTTCGCGCGTTTTTTTCTCAAACGTTGTCACAAGTTGTCATGCTGTCAGCTACCGCTGCGGCTTCTGCCTCTGCTGTTGAGGCTCCCGCTACTGCTGCTTCCAGTTACATGGGAATCAGCACAACACACACGCAGCTGCCGCTGCCAGCTACACGGGCAGCAGTACAACCACGTTTGGTGTGTACAACACGACGGCAGTTGCATCGCGAGGGCTCCGCATTCGCGCACTCTTGGTTGCGTCCAACCTTGGTGTGGGTTGTTGTGTGTGTTGTTCTTGCTATTGCTATTGCTGCTGCTGCTGCTGCTGCTGCGAGGCAGATTATACTATAATGCAACCAAGGCAATATCACAAAATGGTCCTCATTCCTCTACACTCACTCTTCGTGCTTGTGCGAAGCCTCATGCTGCAAGGCGGTGCCCTCGTCGACTCCTGAACCGTCGCCGAAGTTGTGTCCGCAGCGGCAAACAAACTCCATGCCATCCGCTCGCTCTCGGCAGACGCGGTTTAGCCAAGCCGTCTTGTCGAAGGGGGTTGTTGATAGGAATCCCCACGGAGACTGTCCTCATCGTGACCACTCTCCCCAAGCTCTCGCTCTCCCTCGCTCCTCTGCTACGGACGGTACCGCGGCTGCGGGCTGCGGTACTCTGGAGCAGGGGCTACGTGGATTGTACTACCCCCTTGCATGAAATGTGCCCACTTTATATATAGGATTTACTATAGACTTGTTTATATAGAGAAATTGTGTGGCGTTGGGGGGGTGCTTCGAGTTAGGGGTCGTAGCCGGGTTACTTGCCAAGTGAATAGCGCCTACATTGTCCTCCCACACCGGAGTGCACCCCACATCACGGTCCGGAAAGATAAAACTCCAGAGATACCGCAGAAAAATAGCCTCCTTCAGCCCCTCAGACATCGCCACGTACTCCGCTTCCGTCGAAGACAGGGTGACGCTCTTCTGCGTCCTACACAGATACATCACACACGCACCAGCGAACATCACTAGTGCCCCAGAAACAGACCGCCGGCCGGTTGCCTTGCTGGCGAAGTCCGCATCGACAAAAAGTTCCATGTGGTCTCCTCCTACCATGCCCCTCTGAAAAGTAATACCGTACTCGCTCGTGGATCTAACATACATCAAGACATGCAAAGCCGCTTGCCAGTGCAATCGCTTCGGCGCGTGCGAATACCTCGCAACGGCACGTACCGCGTTGAGAATATCCGGGCGAGTCTGATTCGCCAGCCACATCAAGTGTCCCACCAGCGACCGGAA